GTCATAAAAAATTGGACCCACAACGTATTCCCCAACTATGCCCGCTCAAACATTAATTGACCATCGTCTTTGTGTACGGTGATCTCGCTGCCAATGTTGATTTTCTTCTGCATAATAATGCGCGTTATGAAGATTAACTCCTCCCATATTGTCGAACTTTGCCTCGTCTGTAAAGAGAGTCCGATAAAAGAAAAATGGATCTATGCGCATTCGTGTTTCCGCCCATTGACAGAATCTAAGTCGCCTGGCAGGATCACCAGGCTCAATGGCATATGTAAGGTGCAAGTGATATGGATGAAATCTAAAATGACGCAATACACGGGAAACTGTTGATCTGGGTACTCCATGCATTCGCTGAATTTGTCGCGTCGAAATATGAGGATCCTCGGCAATTACAGCACGAACCCCAAGCGCAATATGCTCTCTTGGGCCCGTCCGTCGCCTCTTCCTTCTTAAGTTACCTCCTTGAGCTCTTATCGTTAGAAGTTTAATATTCCTCCTAGTAGGATAACGAGCGTCCGGATACCTTTCAGCGTACAGCCTCGCTGCAGCCTTGTAATTGTCGTGACATTCTCCCAGAATCTTGATCATGTTGACTACCTCTACTGGCGTGTAGTCAGCCATTATCTATTGTAGGTAGATTTTTTAGGGAATATTTAATCTTAAAATAATAATTTAATTTTTATTGAATCTGAAATTCAGAAAGTCAATGAAAACCTAATGATGAGAAGCTTTGAGGAGCTGTAAGAATTTACAAGCCTTACCAATAGAACGATAACGAAGCAAAAAAATTTCTTTTAGCGAGAAATAAAGCATTTACGAGAAAAATATTCTAATTCTAATATTCTAATTCCTCGGATAAAATGTAATGGTTACCTGTAAATAAACATTTGACCTTCAAAAAATCTTGATGACCTTCAAATGACATTGATGGCTCTTAAGCAAGTTCGTGGTGAAGGTCACTACAGTATGTCCCTCATTGAATCTAGTAACATTCATCAAAATCATTCTTAACTGTGGGAAAAATTCTAACCTTAGTTTAAGGTAGAGATATCTAGTGATTTTTTTCTACTTTTTTAAAGCCGTTTACAACAAAAATTTGGGATTTTTCAAAAAATGATTCATACAAAAAGTGTTTTTCTTTTTTAGTAGAATCCGAATCCGCCATAAAATATGCACATTTCATATGAAAATTTGGTCTTGACTTTCAAATGACCTTGAAGGTCATGTTCAAGGTCGCAGCTGAAATAGCCAAAAGATGCCCCCCTTCGAACCCAACAAATTTTATTTGAAACATTTTTTTCTCAGAGCAAATTATTAACCTGTTTTAGGGGGTGGTAAATTAAAATGGGATACCCTGTATAAATAACACTATAGCAGGGCGGTCATATGGATATGTGGAGCGATACATATATCCAAGAGAATAACCGCCCCTGCAGCTAATTATACATGGGTGGAGGTTGTCGGCATGCGTATATACAGGTGATACCTACCACCTAGTTAACGTAAAGAAGAGTTCTAGAGATCTCTAGAGGCCATTGTTATCAGTGCTAGGTCCTCACAATTGCCAGTGGCTGTCGGAGGCAACTTTAATGTATGGACAACGGAATGGGGAGCATTAGGACTAACGAGCGCGGTATAATGCTCCTGGACGCTTTCGCCACACTGGAATTGGAGATCGTTAACAGAGGAACAACACCTAATTTTACTAAGGCCGGAGGATCGTCTGTGATCGACATCACTTTTGTTGATCATAAATTGATAGGTTAACAACTAGACTGGAAGGTGAGCGACAACTATACTGGGAGCGACCATCGTGTCCTGGTGTACCGACTCCAGCCCCATGGGGAGAGAAGCAGCTACAACAAAACGCGGAAAAAAGAGATGACGGAAACCTTTGACCGAGATACGTTCCTATACTCATTGGAGGAAACAGTGTTGGGAGGAACAGTAGAGGAAAAAGCACGAGAACTTACCGTGGCCATAACAACAGCTTGTGATGCCTCTATGGCAATGAAGAAAAATGCCTGTAATCGTCTGCCAGTCTACTAGTGGAATGACACCATTGATAAGATAAGAAAGGAGTGTTTAAGAATACGAAGAAAATATCAGAGAGCAAGGATAAAGCTGGAGTTTCTAGTCCTTATGGCTAACTACAAGCAGAAGCGCAAGAAACTGAAAACTTACGGAAAGTCAGACTTCGGAATCGCTTTTGGACATTCGTCGCATTAATTTTAATAATCTCTTTATCGTCAAACCGATGTTTCTTACGTAATCTTTTTAAAACTTGGACCTAGTACTCTTTGTTGATTGTCTAGCCTGTAGGAGCATATTTGTAATACGCAATACCCTTATAATCGAAAAAAATAAATCAGAACGAAGATCACTATCAATAGATGTGCGGCCACCTATACATGTTTTGACATCTTTACAGTCCTTTACATAACCAAAATAGTATTCTTACGATAATATCGGTGGAATATGGATGATCCGGGCGGTTCAAAAATCCAAATGAGAGTATCATGCCAGGCTTGCGATGTTCATGAGCCAAGCGCTCGCTAACCACCTTGTAAGTTTTTCTAGTGGAAACGGTACATGTTACAAATACAGTCACTCCTTTTCCACGCCTAGCGAAATCATATTTTCGACCGTTACACAAGATACCATTTCGGTGCATACGAGCTGCACACTCTTGTTGAAGTTGGTTGATAGGATTAATTAGCGAACCTTTCAAACATAAATACACATGCATACGCATACAAACCTAACAGATGTACGGCGGCTGATAACGCTTCGACGGTAGTAAAGTAAAATCTTCGCGGTCGACCATATCAGTAACTAACAGATGTTTACGAAGATAAACATAATGGTAAACATAATAATAACATGACTAATAGTACTAACCTAGGGAAAAATGAAGTTACAATAATGTCACATATCATAATCAAAGCCGATTTGACAAAAATTAGGAAGAAGATTGTAGTCAATAAGGCTACAGGACCAGATGCAATATTTGACCTGACGATTAAAATTCTTGTGTTGAACAGTCTCCAGATCATTACCGACACATTCAATGTATGAATAAATGCAGGATGCCTGCAGGTATAGTGAAAGATATAGAGGTTGGTGCTTCACTACAAGAGGATCAAGCTCCTGCACGAACCATCGTTCTATCAATAGTTATGCCTCCTAGACACAATTTTACAAATATTCTAGAAGATACTAAGTGATAGAATTAAGGAAATTAAGACAACAATCTTCTGAATAGAAAAAAAGTTTGGTTTTAGAAAAGGTCGTTTAATGATCAATGCCATCAAACTGATAACAGCAATAGCCATCCACGTCATCCGGGCAGTTGATTAGCAAAGCGCCTATGTGCTATCATGGCATTGGATCTTCGAAATACTTTTAGCCCGGCCAAGCAAAACAACATTATGCAGTTTTTGAAACGTCTGAAGGTTTTGTTTTATCCTAAAATGGTATCGAATTAATTGGAGGACACAATCATGTTCTATATACCAAAAACAGTATATCCTCCTCTAACATCACGAGAGGAATGTCGCAAGTTTTAGTCCTGATATCAATTATAATGGCGAAGAGGGCTGAGGATGGACATGATGCAATAGATTTAGTAATATGTTAATTGAACGACTGACACAGACAGCAAAGAAGACAGAAGCGATATTTATCACACGCAGAAAAAAAGAGACAGTGAGCTACCTTTATGGCTGGAAATACTATGGTAAGGTAAATATATATCAGGTACCTAGGTTTTACTATTGACGGAAGTCTACTATTCAAGTAGCATTTTGTGAATCCAGGCACGAAGGCAACTAATATGGTAAATGTATTAAGGAATATCATGCCCAACATCGGTGGTTAATGCAACTATGAAAGTTCTTATTTGCATTTATAACAACTTCCGTATTTCTATATGGAGTATCAGTCTGAATTGATGCTCTGAAAGTTATGAAGTTAGAAGTCGGAGTACTCAGAGAATAGTTGTACTAAAGGTGAGGCACGCCTATGGATCCATGTCAAATTAGTGTCATTACAGTGGTTACAGGCCTCTACTCTAAAGATATTTTAGCAGTGGAGAGGCTAATAAATTACTGTGGAAATGAAACAATGACTCCATATTAAGAAGGATTAGCGAAGAGTGTCAACAAAAGTAGGACAAATCGAGCTATAACCGTTGGATTCACTATGCTGTATTTGATATAGCCTCTTTACCTTCTAGATAATCCAATGTTGCTCAGACATTGCTACTTTTGTCGCTATCTCTATATAATATCAAATCAATTCATGCTCTGGTCTAGATGAGGAGGTGGATCATGCTCTTTTCCACTACTCAGAAGACAATCAGAAAGTACTGCCCCCGTAAAGTAATATCTACCGGTTATTCCCGTTAGGAAAACAAACAGCCAGGTATATAAAGGTGTTTTTAATGAATCAGAGCATCATACTCTTACCGACACTTGTGTGAGGAGTGCGCTGGAAAAGATTTTCACCTCCACTATCAATATGTCTGTGTATGTATATGTGTATATATGAACATGCGTGTGTATTTGCTTTTTAAGTTTTGTAAAAATGAATCTGCTTCTACTATCTACACATACGTTGATATATTTAAATTTTTTATACACGACTATGAGTTCATAATCAACAAAATGGTACAAAGAATATTTACATATTTTTTATCTATCTAAAAAAACCTTTCCCTCTAAGATAGTTAAGTTGATTCTGTAATCGACTTCACCAAGATTAAAAATTAGCGTTTTTACTATTAAAAATAATGCTCTTGAACCATCGGTGAATCATTTTCTTAACAGAATTTGTATTTATATTATATAATAAATTTATTTACTATTTATTAGAAATTTATATTAACGAAGTTTACTAAACATGCTAAAGTTATCAGTCTTATGCGAGAGTATTACTTGTTTATTTATGCTATTATATTAACAAATAAAATTCTAAAATTTGATTTGATTAAATACCTTATAATCTAAAAAGTACTCAGTCCGTTCTTCGTAATCAAGACAAGGTGATACTCCTGGGGTTAGACAAGGTGCTACGAAAATAGTTCCCGACATCGTATCTGTAATAAAGTGCTCAGAACCTCGACCTATTAATTCATACACTATTCCAGCGGTTCCAAAACTGAAACATTATATCTAATATGAGTGCTCGAACCATCTTATTGATAAAAATAAAAATAAATACATTATTTATCTATAAGATATACCAAATAAATTGTAAAATAATGATATATGTTTGATTAAGTAGAAAGACTGACCGGCCACTATCGCGATCTTTAGCTGCAATTGTGATTATAGATGTGCCAGATTTGGCTGTTTCTGAGATTTGAGCTGTATATGAAAAACTAGAAAATAAAGGAGCATTGTCATTTATGTCTGTTAGGCCAATTGTAACTGTTGCTGTAGAAGAAAGTCGAGTCTTCGTATAAATTTCTTCAGCCACTACCTATGTAACAAAAAAATCTCCGTTTAACTTTATTCTGTTAATTTATGGAAACTTGAAACTAATGAAAATCTATAGGATACAGCTTTTCTACTGACAAGAATGATAAATTTTCGTTGATTAGGATCCTCATAATCAAGAGAACTGTTGTTTACACGAATATTAACTGACGTACTGCCTACCGCATGACCAGGTTCAATCGTAAAAGCTCCGGTAATATCATCAAGTCGCAAAGAAAACATTGAATTCAAACCCTGAAAGATAAGCATAACATTGCTAATTAAAAAAAATTATGAGATATTATTAGTAACTAAAGTAAAATAGAGCAAAAAACAAACACAAACCATGTCAGGGTCACGGACTATCATTCCTAGGTGGGGTAAAAGAGTACCATTAGCAATATTCTCAGGAATAACAACGTTGTACTCTTTACGATTAAACGTAGGAGGTTCATCGTTGACATCTTTGATAGTTATAGTAGCTTTAGCAATGAATGTACTACTGCTATCGTTGCCAGGCTGATCATCGATGAGCTCACGAGCTCGCAAATCAAAAGTTAGTACGCCGGTCGAATTTTCAAGCGCTTCGCGATCAAGAGGTTTCGCAGTATATATTTCTCCACTCTCTGCATCCAGTAGGAAGTAGTCAAAAGGATCTGAAATACATCAGAAATAGGTACATTACTTGATTTAATTCATTTACAAAATATAACTTAGATATAAGAGCTACGTATTAAAACAATTAAGATATTGAAACCATCAAGTTAACTAATTAAGCAGTTATTTCATTAGAATTGGTATGAAAAATAAAATTCATTCCCAGATTTTTTACCTTACAATTTTATTTTAACCCATTAACGACCAAAATACTCAATTTTTTTGTCGATTTGTAACGCGATTTTTTCGGTAGTCATAGGCCTAAGAAATTTTTGCAAACACGTATTTGAATGGGAAATTTAACGATCTTTCAGAATCTTTTTTCAAAATTGCGATTGATTGCATTATATAAAAGTTATAGCCAATTAAACAATAAAAACCTGAAAAATTTTGCGAAAAATCAAGTTTGCGATTTTTTTAGCAATGTTACCGCTAAAAAATCATCAAACAAATATGATCAGAGGTGATCACGACTATCAAAGTATCTCCAGGAATTTTGGTGGAATTTTTGAACCACTTCTTCCAACAAAATGGTGGCAAAATAAAAAAAAATCCATAAAAAACATTTCTCATTTTTTATCTCGGAAACCATTAAATTTAGATGAAAAGTTCATGGAATAAAAAAGTCTTATAATTAAACGAGAAATACGTCTGAATTTTTTCAGAATTTTCCGAGGCGATTTTTGAATTTTCGGAGAATATGGAAAATCCATTTTTCGAAAATCATCTCCAAAAATTCTGAAAAAATTCAGGCATGTTCCTTGATGAATTCTAAGACTTTTTGTTCCATAAACTTTTCCTCTAAACTCAATAGTTTTCGAGATAAAAAGTGAGTTAGGTTATAATCCTAGCAGCGTTAATATTTTTGATACATAATAAAGAACAGCCATTCAACAATAATATAATAATGTTTTGCCTTTTTATGTGTATACAAGTACAGTTTGTATAGCGTATACTAATATACACATATCAAAAAAGCAATTCAGAAAATTGTATGTGAGCTCATTTTTATTACTTACTAGTCTCTTGTTATTTTGAGACCATACAGTAAATCGAATCGAAAAGATTATTTTCGCTTTCTAAAGTCTAGGTTTGACAAGAAGCATTGAAAACTGTAGTAATTATTTTCATTAGGTATTTTTATTATTTTATATAACATGTCGCAAAAACGTAAAAGACGTTCCACTCGCTCCCATGAAATGTACGAAATTGATACTTCAAAGAACACTTACGATGATATAGTTATCCTTCCAAATCCTGACAATTCTGGTTCTGATGGATCAGATTTCGATACTAATTCGGATGATGAAATTTCTAATATAACGTACACAGAAGCTTGTAAAACATATACTGACATTCAAACTAAATTAGAAAGAACGCATGAACTCCAGTGGATGGAAGGAGAAAAAAAGTATAATGATAAGTTGAAAGACAAAATTTTATTGAAAGACTCGGTAAAAAATAAAATACAAGAAATGGAGCCAGTCGAACTGTTTGAAACATTTTTCTCAACTGAAATGAAGTAATATATTAGAGATGCTTGTAAAGAAAATAATTTTGATTTAAAGTTAATAGACTTAAATACATTCGTGGGAATAATCATTTTGACTTCATTCAACAAAAGGAAATCTCAGAGGGATTACTGGTCACGTGATCCCTTTTTATCTTGTAACGTTGTTTCTTCTGCTATGTCACGTAATAAGTTTGAAGAGATCAAATCAAAATTAAAATATTCACAAACGAAAGATAAAAATCCAAATGACTATGCTTGGCGTGTCCGTTCACTATTAAACCTATTTAAAATTAATATTATGAAGTTCGGTGTGTGGACAACTACTCTTTCCATCGATGAAATGATGGCTAAATCTTATGCGAGGACGGTTCTAAAACAATTCATTCGAGGAAAACCCATACGATTTGGTCTCAAATTCTGGGGTTTTTGTATTTCCGATGGTTTTGTATTAGGTCTTAACTTATACTACGGAAAAAATTCTACAACGGGAAGTAAATTTAGTAAGTGTGCATTAGGTTCTCGCGTTGTTATGAATTTACTAGAAAAGTTTTTTCGTGTTATACCTCCGGGCAAAATATCTATGTTCCATCTTTATTTTGATAATTATTTCACAAGCTTAGATCTCGTTGTGCATTTGAAGAAGCTTGGGCTAAAATGTACAGGTACTATTAGAGAAGATAGAGTCAAAGATAAAAATGTTCTAAATAAAAAAGCTCAAAGAGGTGAGTATGCCGTGAAGCACGATAAGAACAGTGGTATAAATTACATCACTGTGATGGATTCAAAACCAGTTTCGATTATTTCTACTGCTGCAGGGGTAACTCCATTATCATCTTCAAAGAGATACAGTAAGCATGTAACGGTCCTATTTATGAGCTATTTATTAAATCACTGAATTACTGCAACTAGTCTAACGTATCTATCTGTTTATTCAAATCAATACATCAAGCGCTACCTCACTGTTTACGCGATTGTATACAAATAAGAGTAGAATCAAAATAAACAACGTGACGTCACAAAGTAATAGATATAGATATAATCATTTTGGATATTAAGAAAAATATGTTAATTAGAGATAATTTGAATATAACAAAGTATTTATTATATAAATTTAAGTACGTAGATTCAGAATATAATAACACAAATTGCATTTAATTATGAAATAATAATGAATTTTAATATGCAAAATTGATTTATTTATTACGCTAACAACATGAATTATTAGAAAAATGTAAATATGCAAAGTGAATAAGTATAGAACATGAGTAAGAATTGGTTTCATTAATAACAGCTGAATAATAACTATTATTAGTAAATAAACAATTAATAATTTATTTAAACAATGAGCTGTATATAGAACGAAAATATTAATTTTATACTTGAAAATGATAGCTTTATAATTTAGGAATCTTAGATAAATAATCTAATAATTGCATTATAAGATTAGGAAAAACCGTTACAAATATGACAAATTAGTATAATTCAAATGTTATTAACTAATTTAAATATTCATTTTTGGAAAATACCTCTAAATTGAATCAACTATAAAGTTATATAAAAATTTATTAATTTTCTATTGTAAATATTGTAATACCACGTTAATTAACTTTATTAGTTAATAACTTTTAACGACATTATTTGCGATAATTGAATATTATATAAAATCAACGAATAACAAATTTTGTAAAGCTTACATATATAAAAAGCGTAATATTAATGATTATTTACTTGTAAATTAAGAAAACTCATTACTCAAAATTCGCGAATGTATTTCGAATGTTCGATGACATCTCTCCTGCAAAAATAAGCGGGAAAATCTGTGTATAAATAAACCTTTGCAAAGGCTAGCATTCACTTCTAGCCTTGCAAGGTGAGCGCATGAGTCTGAATAAACTTGGCTAATACCTAAGTTCTTTCTCTCATTGTGATTAACTGAGCAAGACTGTTCCTTCCTTATAATTCGAGCTCGACTTATAGAACATCTCGCGCTATAAGAAACTTGGGCCGAATTATATCCTATCCAAGAAAGACTTTAGCTCTGCTTATGGGACAATTCGCACCATAAGAAACTAAGGCATTGTCTGACTTTCCTTGAAACATTGTACTTATTTATATATATTTGATTTATTTATTATTGTTAGAATACATTTGATTTATCTATTTATTTTATTGACTAGTAGAGTAAAATTATTGGAAACAAATTCTTACTCATTAGCTAGATACGAGAGTTCGAATTATTATTATTTATAAGTGATACGAACATCACAAGCAAGAAGGAAAAAAAGTTGAAATACCTTTTCCGAGGGCTATTAGCGTCTATAACAGTTTTATGGGTGGCAATGATGTCCACGACGGACATTGTAACAATTTACTTCCGAGTATTCGTTCAAAAAAGTGGACACAGGGTAGTTTTTTTAAGACTAATTCAAGCTTCGATTGTAAATGCTACTGTACTATTCAATGCTGTCAATGATGAGAAAAAAAGGATTGGAACAAAAGATTTTGCACTTTCAATAGCTAAAAATTACATGTCGCAGAGACAATGCAAAAAAGAGAAACACAATATGTCCAAACAAACAAAACTCAAACTTTGTTCTTATTGTCCCGTAAGAACGAGAATTATCTGTGAAAAATGTGATTTATCGATTTGTTGAATGTTTCAAAAATAAAAAACACTGAAAAATTCGTATTGCAGTGAGAGGCAAGGGGACTCACTCAAATCAAGCACTTCGAAAAGTGAGAGGCAAGGGGACTGTTGTTAAATTAATTAAACACTAGCTTTAGGTTAAAATAGAAAATACAAAGTTATTTTATTTTAAAAGTCTATTACAATAGTTATACTCTAATGATGTTCTAATAATAATGATAATAGTAATCCTCTAATTATTGCGAGAGCTCTAACACCAAAGGCGCTCACTGTTGGAATGCCGCGCTAGTTTCCGCGGTAGTTGAACTCAGCGAAGGTGGCGTGGTATGCGTATGAGCACATGCGCGCAAGAAGCTTAACACTCCCTCCCTTGTGTGCATATGCGCGCAATCACGAGCAGTTTAGTTAGACCCGTTGGTTTCCGCGTCTGTAAATAATTAAAAAAAAATTATCTCCAGCATATTCAATGGTTAAATATATTATCTCTAAGAGCTCTAAAAGAATCGAAAGGAAGAGGCTTTATAAATATATCTGCTAAGTTTTCTTTAGATGGTACCCAAATCAATTTAACTTTTCTTTCAGTTACGCGCTGCTTAATATAATCTCCATGTACTTTAGATAACTTATTTTTAATTCCTGTTTTCTCTCTATTCTCTAAGTTAATAATAATTTCATCAATAGAATCATCAAAGTTCTTTAATTTATAATTTCCTTCCTTTTGTGTACAGCTGATTGAGGATTTATTATCGCATCTTATAATTATAGGATACATAGTTATCTAAGAGTCTATCTAAGAGCTTTATCTAATGAAATCATTTCCTGACAAGCTTCGCTCATTG